ACAACCATACAGCGACAACCCAGAACACCCTAACAACCATACAGCAACAACCCAGAACACGCTAACAACCATACAGTAACAACCTAGAACACCCTAACAACCATACAGCAACAACACAGAACACCTTAACAACCATGCAGCAACAACCCAGAACACCCTAACAACCATACAGCAACAGAACAGAACACCTTAACAACCATACAGCAACAACCCAGAACACCTTAACAACCATACAGCAACAACCCAGAACACCTTAACAACCATACAGCAACAACCCAGAACACCTTAACAACCATACAGCAACAACTCAAATCACCTTAACAACCATACAGCAACAACCCAGAACACATTAACAACCATACAGCAACAACCCAGAACACATTAACAACCATACAGCAACAACCCAGAACACCTTAACAACCATACAGAAATAACACAGAACACCATAACAACCATACAGCAACAACTCAAATCCCCTTAACAACCATACAGCAACAACGCAGAACACCCTAACAACCATACAGCAACAACCCAAATCACCATAACAACCACACAGCAACAACACAGAACACCCTATAAAATAGCCAGAATACCTTACAAACCGCATCAGGAACAACCACATTACAGTCATTACTCTTAAACTCCACAAAGCAACCCACAGAACACCCTAGTAACCACATAGCAACCATCACATTACACCTTAAAACGGGTCACCCCACTTGTTCCTGGTGGTCCGGTGTCCTGCAGATTTTAGCTCCAATCCTAATCAAACACACCTGAACAAGCTAATCAAGCTCTTACTAGGTATACTTGAAACATCCAGGCAGGTGTGTTGAGGCGAGTTGGAGCTGAACCCTGCAGGGACACCGACCCTCCAGAACTGAGGTTAGTGACCCCTGCCTTAAAATAAGGCCAAGCTTGAGTGTGGGCTCTAAAGTGTTGGAGATTGACTGTCACTTATATTAAACACGCGTGTTACACGTCTACAGTACGCATGTAAAGTGGGGAGACCGTTCAGGGGTTACAACATTACAAATATGATAGTCATATGGATACAAATATGACTAAACTGAACTGTGATATGACTGAAATACAATTACCAATATGACTGTAATATGAAACAATTATGACTGTGATATGATTATAAATATGGCTCATATAAAAAACAATCGACTCATATGAATAAAAAAATATGCCTGACATGATTAAAATTTAACAAAAACAACGGTGATAGTATTAAAATATTTTAGTGAAATAATTAAACTATGACTGTGACATGGTTAAAATAATTACAAATGTTGTATTAATATTCTAAATATTGGACTGATTATATGTCATATATCTGTCATTTTCTTAATCAGCACTCATTATTTTAATCATACTATTTATGTTTAATCACAGCAGTCATATCTGTATCATATCATATCAGTCCTGTTTACATCACAGAACAGTATATTTTATATTAATATGACTGAAATATGACCAATACATAAAGAAAAAATAAATACTGTAAAACATGAATGATTTTAATAAATAAAACACAAAAATGTTTTATGAGCATGATCTCATGACATCAGCTCTGAGCTTGTTGACATTTACTCTGTGATGTTTTACAATAACATTCGGCCATTCACAGTCATATTACACAATACCTCATCATCATCATCATCATCATATTGTACACGCGCATGTGTCATGCTGATATTATCGTGACATGTAGAGATTGATTCATCATAACCTCACTGCAGTGTCGTGAGTCCGTGATTGAGATCTGAACATCAGTAATCCACTCACAGAGCAAACCCACTGAACTTACGCGCGGATTCGGCGGCTCTGCGTTTGATCTCGCGGCTAATTAACGCGTGTGCCTGCACTAATGAGCTGTGTTCTCCCGCGCGCGCTCATTTACACTTTCATCTGTATTTCTTCACAGGTTTTCAGTGTTTTCCATTCTGCGAGTGCAGAGGAGCTCCAGACTTACCTTTAAGAGGAGCTGCGGCTGTAAATCACGGATGAATTCATGAGTTCTGGAATCACAGTGATTTCTGCGCATGCGCACTGGCTGTGTGTACAGGAGATGCTGAGCGGCGTCAGCTGACGGCTCCACGCTCATTGGCCGGACGCTCCGCTCGGAGAGCTCTCATAGGCGGAGGGAAGACCGTTATTCCCACCCACTCGGCAGCGCCGGCACCTGATTGGCTGACTGTGGCGCCAGTGAGCGGCTGTCGGTGTTGTTGGAAGGCTGATTGAGTGTCAGGAGATTTATTTAAAGTGCTCGTGTTTTAAAGAGGAGCAAACCGCATTCTGATCCAGAAGCGCTTCTGCAGAACATGCAGAGCACTCATTGGTCACGCGGTCTGATTATGTAAATTACTGACACACACTGATCATGAACAAACACAGTGTGTGCTCTGTTATAGTCTAGAGCAGGGGTGGGCACACTCTGTCCTGGAGGGCCGGTGTCCTGCACAGTCCAGCTCCAACTCTAATCAAACACACCTGCTGATTTCTACTGATCTTAAAGACTCTGATTATAGAAAAATGACTCAAATAAAAAATAACCAGCTAAATCCAGCTAAAACCACCTTGACCAGCATGTTTTAAGCTGGGCATAGCTGGTTTTAGCTGGTCATCTCCCAGCCTGGAAATAGAAATGGCCAAAACCCCTCTAAAACCAGCCTGGTCGACCAGCTAAAACCAGGCCTAGGCTGGTTTAAGCTGTTTGTTTCAGTAGGGTAGCATGTTCAGGTGTCTTTGATTAGTGTTGGAGCTAAACTGTCCAGGACACTGGCCCTCCAGAACCCAGTACGCCCACCCCTGCTCTAGAGGGGATACAGCTGCGGACACTCGCATCAGTGTAGCGTCATTATTTGTGAAGCTGAACAACATCATTGACTGTTTTACATGGCGTAAATAAAACAGTTTAAACAGGGTATTTGAATACATTGTATAATTAGTTATGGTTAACTTCAGTCAGCAGTTGTATCCCTTATAGCAGTGGTTCTCAACCATTTCCATCAAGTACCACCTCAGAAAATCTGTCTGTCCAGCACCACTGAAATACAGTAGCCTATAAGCCCAGTAAAGCAGCTACAGCTGTGCACAGTTCACAAACGAGGAGATCAACTCCTATAATTAAGAATATGAATTACTGTCAGCCACTTTAAACATTGTAAATAGTCTGAATGTTACAGATGCACTGTGCTTATGTGTAAAAAACAAACTAAAAACATCAACAGCTCAATTAAAATGTGCTTTTAAAAGTTAAATTAAAGGTTACTGTTCTTATAAAGTTAATAGAAAACTGCTGTACTTAAATGCAAAGTATTAACATATAGTAGCCTATTCATCAACACCTGGAGATGTTTCCTGGACCTCAGAAATATAGGCTACATGTCATCATATACAAGTCATTTATTAAATATATGCCGCATGTACATATGACATATCTGATCCTCCGCGTACCGCTAGTGCTACCACAGTTTGAGAAGCACTGCCTGCAACAGTCCTATTGGAGGGACAGTTTACCCAAAAATGATGATTTACTCTCTCAAATGGTTTAAACCCTTTATGAGGTCCTCAAAGACTGAGAGGATATTTTGAAGAATGCTGAACATTTCATTGTAGGAAAATCAAATCCTGAAGTCAGCGGTACAGGTTTACAACATTCTTCTTGTGTTTAATGCGTGTGTGCGCTGCTAACGGAAGGAGACACTTGATCAGGTTATTAATACATGCATTGATGATGTTTAATGAGGCAGAATGCTCTGTGCTTGAACACTGGTTAATTCAGTCATTTACTGATGTTACAGCGCCGCCCGGTGGCGAACACGGGTAAACTCCCACAGTCAACAGGTGTGCAGTCATCAGCATGCTGGACATCTCACAGCGGCTCTTCTGTAGTTTAATGTGCTGTAGTGGACATTAGTAAAGTAATCTCTCTCCAGAAAACATCCAGCATGTGTTCTGTCGGAGAAATACAGCTTTACTGCAGTCAGAAAGAACTGAACACAGATCACGTGATCAATAACCCCCAGTGTAAATGTGTGGAAGTGCATCAGGATTCAGCAAGAGAAACACTTCCACACACTGATATCTCTAAACACCAGTCAATAAACAGACCAGAAAGCTTCTGTTTTATATCACAACTCAAACTGGCGTGGGTGAGGGATGAGCAGATTAACTTGGCATTATCATGTACTGGTACAGTCGTGTGAATATGCCATTTTACAGTCTTTAGTGGATAAAACTGGGCTGAACCCAGCAGCCTATACAATAACAGACCGGGACCGCTCACACTTGCACGGCCATTATTCTGATGTGTGCTGTTCTTTACTCTGGAGGTCACTCAGAAACACAATAATAAGATTAACTTCAGGACTGCCAGTGAACACAGACTGCCCATTTCCCTGGTGCGGAGGAAATGAACATGTCTTAAACACAATTAAAATGAAGAGGTTATTTTTACTCGTGCACGCGCGGCTGTTGCCAGGCGACTTTAAAAAGCGAGCCCGCGGAGAGTTGCTGAGCAACACATGGCGCGAAAACTCCGGAGACCTTTAAAAGGGGCCGAGTGAAAAACAGCATCAGTGTCTGCTTTAACCCGGCTGAGTCTGATGAACACTCTGAGGAAAGCTGGAGACGGACTTCCACTCTGAAAGAAATGACTTTAGTGTGGTTACAACCGGTTACTTAAACCAGTTTTTAAATTGTAATATTAAGTGTCAAGGATAAGTAGAATTTAAGCACACATTTAATATTTATACATTCTTCCTGTAATAAATGAAATGACTGGAAAGAGTTAAATATGAATTTTAATTTACTCATAATTTAAATATTTTCTAATCATCGCAAACCTAGCAATAAAGTTTTAATAATGCATGTGCAATGGATAGTTCCCAGCATGCATTGCAAGCGACTGAATTAAAAGTATTTTGGAAATAAAAGCAATCTTACGAGCTTAATTAGAGAAAGACTTGCTAGAGTTTGATCATCATTAGTTTGTAGATTAATAGTGTTAATGTCTCTGTTTAAGGTGAGCACCTTGCAGAAGAGCAGCACTCATGCTTTGGGTCTGGTGTTGTTAATTTCAGCATTAATGTTGGAAGCTTCACTCAGTAAATCACAGATGTGCTGACACTAGCACTGACAGAAGGGATCATTCAGAAAGTAAGTTAGCTCTTGCTGAATATATTTGCTTAAAACAGGGTTCACCAACCCTGCTCTGGAGATCCACCTTACTGCAGAATTCAGTTGCAACCCATATCAAACACACCTGCCTGTAATTATCAAGTGCTGTTCAGCTCTGAACTAATTAGTTCAGGTGTGTTTAAGGTTGGAGCTGAAATCTGCAGAAAGGTAGATTACCAGGACTAGGCTTGAGCACCCCTGACTTAAAATAAGCTGAACACCACATATCAGGCATCTTCATTAAACCAAGCGGCATCAAACTGTTCTCATCTGTAACCAATAAAGATATTTAAATATTAAAGCAATGATCCTCCTGCTAAAACAAGAATTACTTAGTTCATTTAAACAAATGCTCTAAAGATAATCAATTGATTCAGGTTTAATCTAACACTCCTAAATAGTCAACTGTAGATGATATTGACAGGTTAATCGATATAAGATTGTAAAATTTACATTAAATTTGTTTGTGCAAATTGTTAGAGGACTAAATAACTCTAGAGATTTAGTGCATATTAGGACAGTGTCAAGTTACAATACAGCTTTCCAGCTTCAACATCTCAACCAACACAGACACGAGAAAAGACGGAGCGAGTAAATATGAAGCAGGATTTTGGGTGAAAGCCCTTTAAATAAGACATGTATTCATTAAAGAACTCAACCTGACGATGTGAAGACAGACACAGTTTAAAATCCAAGCATTTTATTATAAGAATATAGTTAATTTACAACTCTAAAAGCACTGCATGTGTACGTCCAGCGTCAGGAGCGCGTTCCCCGGAGCGCGTGCACGGCGGCGTTGAGCTCGCGCTG